AGTTTGCCGTTTGGCCTCTGAGGGTCAGTGAGCATTATGGAGGTCAAAGGTCGATCCCAAAGTCGAGGACAAATTGTCCTACATTAAACTCTCTAACTTGGACACTTTCGAGCAAATGTTTTTACACCTAACCATCCTCATAACTTTGTTTGCTTGCTTTGTTTTCTATTTGCTTCATTTTAAAGTCATAAAGATCAGAAGCATCCTGTGGATTTTCTGAATATTTAACTTGAAAGAAAGACTATAAATATTTCATTTTCCATGGTCAGTTGAGTTCTTTCAGTGCCCAGTCCTTTGTCTGAGTGCCTTTCTGGGTTTGAATTGCCATGTGTGCCTCTCAGGAGAATGTGCTAGCCAGGCTTTAGTGTAGCTGGACATTGAAGTGCTTGTTGTTGTTTGCTCAGTGGGGGTAGTAGTCTGCCCATGGAGGTCATATGGGCAGCCATCGCTGGATAAATGCCAGCGAGAGCTTCTACGTGTATTGAATAACCAGGCGTTTGAAACGGCTGGAATCCTGTGACGGCGCACAACACAATTCAAGAAACACAGAATCCATAATGTATTAATTGTTAATGTGGAGGAAGATTTAAGGAAATGTTCTCTGATGATCCCCTCACTGCCCGAGGGGCACAAGACTTTCTCAAAAAATATTCAATTTGAACCTAGAAGTGCTTCAAATCTGCAGGTATTCCCCAACAGTCAACACTGAAACAAATCCTAAAAAAACAGTTTTATTTTGTGCATCCCAGAAAGGACTTTAAAGACTTGGATCCAAACAAGACCACCCTAGTTTTATGTTTTTGTTGGGATCTTATATTTTACAGATGTGCTTTCATGTTATGTTCTTGAAAAATAATAATAATAGATTTATTATTTATTTATTCAATGCCTTTCAATGAACCCAAGGACGCTTTATATACCATCATTAGAAATGACAAGAGGCCCCTCTGTTGTATTCAATCCATCTTTCTGCTGCCTTAATACCTCACTGGAAATCCGAATTACACTTACTGTGAATATTGGATTTGACTGGAATTCAAAACATCAAAAAGACTTTTCACCATCTGTTCGGTCTGTAAAGAGTAATCTGTGTGAACAGCATCTGCCAGGTGGACAGTGAACCTTTCACTTAAGATATTCCTCCTTCTCAGTACAACAGCCAAACTGTCAGCCACCTTAATCTCTGTCTTGTTCCTCTTCATGGAAGACTGTGATGTTTGGTCATGGGGATTAGGGCTGCAAGTACCCATTATTGAAATTATAGATAAAAGACGACAATTTGACCCATCTAACGGCTTGTTTTTCCACCAACAGAACATCTACAGTAATACAAAACTAGAAAAGATGGAATTCTCCCGCTCTTCTTTTAGCTCTAAATTTGAGCTCCACCATCTCTTTATCTTGTAATCCACCACTACATCTTCACAAGCTAGTGGCTAATCCTGTCTGTTTACAGATGTGCTTGTTAGCTACAGTTGTTGGGACATTTTTGTATAAAACCTTTCCAGTAACTGTATGTCTTAAGGCCTGCTCAAAGTTCCCCACATTAGCTTAGCATGATAACATTCTGAATATTATCCTCTGTTGGGTTGTTGAGAAACATTATCAAAACATTTTTTGTTAGATCAATTAATACATTGTTTGGCTTATCATTTCAGCAGAACATTTAGTCATGCCATGCTCAGCTGTTTCTCTAGTTTTTTTAACTAACTCAGAGTTTTACAATCGGAACATTTTCCTTAACAGATTTGTATCTGTAAGGACAGAGTAGGAGGAACCACAGGTCGGATTCAAACCCGGGCCACCCGCTCCATGGCCTTCAGCCTCTGTACGTGATCTAACCACTCGGCAAACAGGGGCCTATTAACTAATTCTTAAGATTACATTGGTTCTTATCCTTTGGTATGTATCATGTGAAATGTTAAAAAAAGTGTCTTACATTGTGATATAATCCCTCTGGTTAGCTTCCAAAATGAAACAACATGTTTTCTGACCTTTTTCTATTACAAACAACAAATGACATTATTAGCCTACAGCCTTTGTTGTGTATTTCTAAAGGGCTGCACAGGGGCACAACATTATAGTATCCAGGACAAGACACATAAGCTAAGTAAAACATGCAGCGTGCAGGCAGGTCTGTATCATGAAGTGCTATCATAGCTCAGCTGTATATGGTTTTAAATTCCTGTGTTGAAAGCCAGCGTGTACGGACATGTGCAGCAGGCTGATAAGAAAAAAAGAGGGTCAACACCTGCGTTGCTTAGTTGCACACTGGCATCAATTTATCTGAAGTGACGTTTAAAGCCAGAAAAAAAGCAAGCACCCTGCTGAATGTTTCCTGCACAGCAGTCACTCAATTAATTATTAAGATTGAGTTCAAAAGCTTTTAAAACATTTGTTCTGTTTGAGTTATGTTCAAAGTAAAAAAAACCCAAAAAAAACATTCAGTCTGGGATTCATAAAGCAAATCTAAAAATACATGTAGATTGGATTAGAAAACTCAAAACAATGACTTTGTTCAAGTTGTGTAAAATGTCAATTGGAAAAGATGAGAATAGTTTCCTGTAGTGTGGACATTTACATCAGGATACTGGTACACTGTGTAGAAACATTTGAACCATGATACGATTTTGTCTACAGCAGTTTGTACAAGAATATAAATAAGCCTAAGCTTCATGTTGAAAACGGCATCTTTCAATTTAGGGGCATGTCATTATTAAAATCACTTAAGCTTTACCGCACTGTCATGCTAACAATAATGCACCTTTGCTATCATGGAAACAGGTGAAGATTTGCAGAGCTACAGTGGGTAAGCCAAAAGAAGACATCACTTCAGTATTATGAAATGAAATGAAGGGCTCTAAGTTTGTCACACTATTGCACAAAGAAAAAACAACCCATTTTATTGTTATACTTAATTTGAATTGTGATTAAAAACACATTTGGTGATTCTGCTTTACTTTGGCGAAATATTCCAAATATTGATGAAATGTTTTACAAGAGTGCCCAGTGAGATGCCTTATTCACATAAACGTATGGTGGGAAACTCTGTATAAACCGGACATTGTAGTGCAGAGAAGCCCAGAGGCATGTGAGAGCACAACAGGAGAAAGTAGAAGAAATCCCCTGTGATAACTTATCGCCTAGAGCTGCTTCACCCTCTATAAAAGATGGCCAGCTGCCCGCATCATGAAGAAAGGGATTACTGTGAAACTGCCAACTGCATGCTCCAGCAGTCTTGAGGCAGTGAAGACAGTGTGGATCCCCTGTGCATGGTGACTCTTTACTCTGACATTAAACTGAATTAACTGTACTTACTGTAGGTTGTGGGTAGCTAGAGTCTCTGTCTGTATCCACGTCTCTTTCTTTGTCTCACTTACATGCCCCTAAAACCCTTGTAGTGCTTTTATAGTGCTGCAGATTTCCCATAAAGCTGAATGAAAATACCAGAATTCTGCTTTCACAAACGTCCAATTAAATTTTTTTTAGTGGTCAATTCGGCATTTTTCTGATCCTTATTCTTTTTTGATCTGTTATTATAGGTCTGTGTGTGCTTTCTTGTGTGCATTTGTCAGCCCTGGAGGTTGCAGCCTTGGCTCTGTTGCGCTCCACTGAGTCTGCCAGGAGATCTCATGGACGCCTCAGTGGAGCGAACTCTTAAAAACACTGTTTACCCAAGGAGATTTATTTATTTAAAGATACAGAGCTGCTAGTCTTTATTGAAATTCTATGAAAACAATATGTGCAAACAAATTGCGCTTTTGTTCCCCCATTGCTTTTTAGGGCTGTCCCTTTAAAATGTTTTTGAATCTCTGTTCATCCATCGCAAAGTGAGCACTGTGTAGTCGTACAGCTGCACTGAATGTTTTCACACAAGTTCTCATTATCTCCAAGATAGATTTGTCTCCCCAGTGACAGTCATGTCATGCGTGAATATTTTTCCCCTCACCCTGATGGAAGATCCACATACAAGTCATCTGGATTCAATACACTTTTTTAAACCTCTGAGTCTCAATAGTCAAAAACGACCTAACTGTAATGAACAAATGACTGGGGGAAATTTGCTTTAATTTAACAATGATTAAAAGGCTTGTATCCAACATCCTATCTAATGTGATATACTTCTAAAAGCACAATCGAATCTGAATGTGTGGGAATGAACCTGAGTCGGATTAAGTGAACTGAGTGGTTTGAGTGGGAGAATCGCTGGAAGTAGTGTTGATCTCTTCTTGTTTTCCTTCTAACTGGCCAAGCCAGCGTTGAGTGCTGTGAATGTTGGCTGGTCAGTTTTAGATGCACAGCAAATTGTTAATGTTGATGCATTTTGCTGTGGATCTCCGTGTTCCTCAGTGGAAGGATTTTCATGATTTGGCTGAATACCTCAAGTTGAGAAAATCTGTTTGGCAGCCAAAGACTTCAGTACATTCATGCAGTGAGTTGCTAGCAGGCTTTCAGTTGTTGTTTTCTTCTCCTTTTTTAATTGGGGGGGGGGGGGGGGGTTGGTTGTGAAATAAAAGTTTTTGGCTCTTTTTGATGACATTTGTTCCTTGCTGTGAGCTTCAAATTTGTGAAAAAATAAATCAGATGTATGTTGATTACAAAAACTTTGACTTTAATAGCCCTGTGTTCTTGGCTATGATACTTTTGGCATCAAATTGATTCTGAAATTATGCTGAGTAGATAATTGCTTTTCCCCATAATACGCTGACAGTTAAAAAGATAAAGACACATAACTGAAAAAATAATAGGGAAACGGTGACAAGTTTGAACAAATGGTTGGTACCGGGCTTGAGAGACAATATAAGCGTTATTTAAAATGTGTGTTGTATTTATATTCACACAAACCTATTGACACTTTTATAAACTTTATAGAAACAGTAGAACCTGGTATATGAGTCACAGGGCTTGAATATGTTGGTGAATGTTACTTCATTATGTTATTTAAGTGTGCAGCCTGTACGTTTTCAGTAAATCTGACTGTCTTCTGTTTTTCTGCACAGTACATCAAGATCCCAGCTCCCACACCAGAGTCCCCGTCTGCTCTTCGTGTCTTCACCTTCTACTTATCCAGCGACAGCAAAGATCAACCTCAGGCCAGCTTTGACTGCATCCATCAATATGTTTCAAGGTATGGAGTGCATGTATTCAGGTATTAAAGCTCCTGTTGGGAGTTTTTAGCTCGTTATCAAACATCAAGATTGATTCTTTTTATTGTGTAAATTTCAATGTCTGACATCACTGCTGCAGAGAAGCTTATATTTTCCGCATCAAAGCTTTTTAATAAGTGATACATTTTATAGTTAAAGGAGAGCAGGATTTTTGTGTGTAAAAAACAAAACAACACTACTTGTGTATTTACAGGACTGAAATTAGATTATAGAGCAAAAACTAAATAAAGTACTCTTTTAATTCAAAAAACTTATTTTTCACTGATCCTGTCACAGACTCCAGAAATATTATCTAAGTGTCATTTTTTTAACCTTGTAGATCAAAAACTATGGTGGTAAATATTTACTGCGAGAACTGTTTGATGAGCTCTCCTGTCTGTGACTAAAGTGAATGAGACTTTGTTTGTCCTGTAAGATTTGAGTGTGCTTTGAGGGCATCATGAAGAGACAGCCTGCTCACTGATTGCTGTATACAGGAAGGGGCAATCATGATTTCCTGTGTATTTCTGGGCTGAACCTCTCATTACTGAGACCTAAGATGCCTTGTTTATGTATGAGTGTATATGCTTGGAAACAGAGGGTTATACTCTGTTTCTGCCGCCTGCTGCCAGATGGCTCACTATGGCCTGAACTTGTTCTGGTTCCAGTCTGCTGCTGGAGCCAAAAGAAACAGAATAAAAGTGTGAGAGAAAGATCCAGCTCTCTGTGTACCCAGTAGTTTAAAATATTGAGGGTAATGGGGATAAATGATCACTGGTCAAATACATAAACTAAAATTAGGTGAAATAGTCCCTTTGGTTTAATATGACTAAACGGATTTGTCTTCACTATACATCCTTGATTTATTATCAAGGATAATATTATTATGTATTTAACTCTTTTTTAGTTCTTACTTTTTCTAAGATGATCCTTGTTTAGTAAGTATCTCAGCTGGAGCCAAGATAATCCTAGTGGTTTTCCACAGACTTTATCCTGCTTTGAACCAGGGTATCTGGCTTTCTCACATGGAGCTATATCGAGCCTGTGACATAACATACAGTAACCATAGACCTGTCTTAGCCAGATCCCACCACAAAGCCACTTTGTGCTGTGTGGACTCAGTGTTGGTATGCAGGGCTCGTTAGCTTATAGCACTTTGTGTTTACAGTGTTGACTACTCATCCAACGAGAGGCATCGTGGTTCAACGGCTCTGTGTTTGTGTTTTGCAGTGACGGCCGCGAGCAGCTGGAAGGTCAGGGCGTCATCCAGGACAAGATCACAGTGTGTGCCACTGACGACTCATACCAGATGACCCGAGAGAGGATGTCTCAGGTGGAGAAAGACAGCTGGAGTCGCTCCGCCATAGAGATCAAACCAGGAACCACACATCCAAGTAAGAAGTGATCAGCGATCTCAGTGACAGAAAATCAGAGGATGGTTCACAAACAGTTTTTCACAAGGAAATGTGAAACAGCATTGAACATTTCTAAAGATAAACAAATGTAAAAAGACAGAGCTAAAAAAGTGGACATTGACCTGCTTTGATTCTTAATGAAACCAAATGAGGATGTTGCATCTGTGGTTATGCATGTGAAACTTAAACTCACTCCTGTCTTAGTATTATCTGTACTTGTAGAAGTGTCTTCTCTCTTCTTTTGGTGCATAACCAAGAAGTGAAGTAAATAAATACAGCCATAACTTTCTGTTGCATTATTCTTAGTGTAATGCATTGTTGAGTCACAAGAATGGGTAGGAATCTCATCACAGTAAAAAAAATAAACTTAATAGAGGTGTTCCCAAAATAGAAAAGTATATCTTTATGCTGCAACATTTGTATTTGACAGCTCTTCTTTTTTGATCAGGTGCTATAGCTTTTCCTTTGATCATAATCATCCTGTATACCAAATAGCATATTAATCATATAGTAGAGACATGAGCTGGCAAGTTACTTAACTTTTCGTTCTTTTTCTCTCTTTGCCAACCTTTTCTGTGGTTATGCAATATTGTTTCTTGGCCCCCTGTGCATGTGCTGCAGCTCCAGGGAAGCTGAAACTCTGGGTGGTTTAGACCAAATTTAGACAATGAGGATTGTATAATACCAGGTCTTAAGGTGAAGATGACTCAGAAATGTATATGCCTGTAAGGGAACATTTAATCACTTCACTTAATGTCTCCCTCTACCAGCCTCAGGAGGGACTCATAACAAGTGAGCATAATATCAGGCATGCCAAAACCTATAGAGCACACTCCATACAGCCCAAACTATAATTATTACATAAGTCTGTGTGTTTCTATAATGATAAACAGCTGCTACAAGACAAATGAAACAGTGTAGAGTTATTATCACTTGGCAGGATATACTTTTGTGGTTGAAAGGAAAGCCTTCTTTTCCTGTCCCTCCCCCCCTCTCTGACCTTCAACGCACAGATTAGCCTTTAATGGGATTAGCACAGAGAGGTAGCTTTCACTGCTCCAACATGCCCCATCTGTCTGCAGCAGAGATGTAAGCAATGATCAATGGGCTGTTTACATCTGAAGACAAATAGCTGCACGTCAGTATGTACATGTGATGTAGGTAAAGGTTAGACAAAGATCCTCTAAATGCTCTCCCATCACTCAAATGATTGTCAAGTTTGTGCAGCCCAGGGAGTGATCACACAAGTTAAGAAGGTGAAAACTTCATGCCTTTATCTCTTTACTGTCTCATCTGATTTTGTATGTTGGCTTTATTGTTTGTGCTTTCGTTTCACATTTCACAGAGTTCTTGTTTCTTTTCTTGCTCATGGCTTAGGAATTAGTGCCAGTGGGCCTGAGTTCAAGTCTCTCTAAATGTCAGGAAATTAAGAACGGATATCTTGTGACTTTCTGAGATAAGGTTGAAGGATTTGTTATGAATGTTAAACTCACAGTCATTTATTCAGGAATCTTTTTAATTCTTTATTTCGTTTTTTGGTTTGCAGGTAAATGTGTCAAGTTCAGCAAAAGGCCAGCTCCTCTGTCTGCATCAGACAGCAGCTGCTTTAAGCCTACCAACAACCGGAGGAATGGCACTGTGGCCATGCCGACCCAGAAGTCCTTGAGGGAGCGAATCATCCACCTGCTTGCTCTCAAACCCTACAGAAAACCAGAGCTGCTGCTGTGGCTGGAAAGAGAAAGAGCCAGCCCCAAAGACAAGACTGAACTGGGCTCCATACTGGAGGAGGTAAGGGAAAAGCTACATTTTTGCACTTTTGATATGGTTTAATACAACAAACTAAATGTCTGTCTGAAAAAGAGAGACAGCTGCTCTCCAGCCAGTTAGCACATGATCATGTAGTGAAAGAAGCAAGGGGCCATCCACGGTTTAAATAAAGTTTTGAACTAATTAGGAAAGGATTCATTTATGTAACTTACATTTTAAGTAACTTAAATGATGATTGTATATTTGTTCTGTCATTGTGTCTGTATATATTGACTAACCTTTTGCTGGTTGCTGTGTGTGCATGCATGTGGTTTCATGTATCTGTGGGTGTGTGTGTGTGTGTGTGTGTAATTAGGTTGATGCTGTAATTGTCTCTGCACAGATTGTGTTTGCAGTGGGGCGGGCTGAGATAGATGTCCCCCAAGAAAAGGCAGACAGAGGAGGTTAGAGAGGAGGTCAGAGCCTTGGACTCTCAGATGAAAATAGAATCAGAGAAAAAGAGTTTTACTTGTCAGGACTGTGGACATGACACTATCAGGCTCTCCGGGACTCCAGTCCATGACAGTATTTCTATTTTACGCAATTTAAAAAAAAAATGTTCCATGCAGGTCCCCCCAAAAAAGACCCTGCCAAGATATGATGGTAACAAAAAAAACTACAGCTGTGATATAGGGTTGTGAGTGTGCATCTAATTCGACATTAAATTCAGAAGAGGATTAACAAGCACCATTTAAGTTACTGTTTGTGACTTATACCGTCATACACTTTTTTCAATAACTCTTTGGTAAAATATTGTGACACTAAATGTGTTTCCGCCATTATGCTGCCCTTAACGGTATATTCACATAGATATGAAAAGAACTGGCACTTACATTTTTCATGTAAAAGCATTGGTTTGTGTTTATCGCTTGTTGTGGACCAAACAAAAAGAGTTAGCGGCTCGCTGATAACCATGATGGTAACCATGATAACCTTGGTGATGGTAAGGACCAAAAACGAGACTGAGGCTTAGACTTAAATTTTCCAGATGGCTAAGAACTCCAAATTAGTAACAATCTTGCTCTGTAACTGCTTGCTGAATGATTAAGTCATTTTTTTGGTTTCTTCTCAAAAAATGGTGCACCCCCTAGTGGTCCAGCCATCTGTAAACCAAAGGGTTTTGTTCACTTTTTTTAAGGGTTTTTTCAGAGTAGAAGTTATTGTTCATTGTTCTTTCAGATGATTATGCTCTTGGTGAATTAAATCATTAAATAAAAACTCTGATGGGAGTTAAAAAGTATCATCATTTGGTGTATTGTGTTTTAGGTGGCAAAGGTGAATCCGAGAGACAGCAGCTACCTGCTGAGGGATGACCTCTACCGACACGTTCAGAGGGACTGGCCAGGCTACAGCGAGGAGGAGAGACAGCTTATCAGCAGGCTGCTGGCCAGGTGGGTCAGATGCACAAGATAAACCAAATGAGGATGACACCTCTGCTGCTCCAGCAAGCTGATAATTAAATCTACCTCTTACATTAGACAGCCTATAGGTCTATGTTAAGTGGAACTGTTGGATGTTGTCCAAGAAATAGTAATTGTTAATTCTGTTATGATATATTTCTCGCAAATTAAAGCAGGCATCTTTTCCTCTCTCACCATCATCTGCTTCCCACACTCTCTTTGGGTGTAAATCAACTCACATAAACTCAACATGCTTGTACTTGTCAATCCAAGAATTTGTTTCATCGCACAGTAATGCTTATCCTTTCTCAGTTTTCCTGTGTATTCACATGACTTTGCAATGATGCTTGTGGGAAATGAATGTTTATCATTTTACCATTGGTGTGTTCTTTGGCCCTTTCTCTATGTTTAACAGAAAGTTGCAGCCACATATCAGCCACCAATCAAGGAACTCCCAATCAAATGTATCAATACCCAGGAACTCAGAAGATACAGTGCTACATCACAGCACAGCCAAAAATTCTGCAGTGGTAAATACCCAGAATGTTTTTCATTTAACTCTGAACATAAAAGAAATGTAACCGTTTATTTCTATGTGCATTTTATGGGAATAAGTATGTTTTATGTTTTGTATTATTTTGTGTGTTTTATTTGTGCTGAATTTTGGACTGCATATGGAGAGTCAGTTCACTCTAGGGTTCAATGGTATTTCATATGTATTGTAACAGGAGTGTGTACTATGAGGAAATGTCTAAATAAATGTTGATTTCTCTCTTCTTTCCCCAGAAACGTCCTGTGCCTTTTGACTCTATGGAAAAGCTTGATATTAAGAGACAAAGACTTTTGGACCAAAGGTTGCAACAGCAGCCTGTAGTAAATGAACTCGTAACCATGAAAGGACCCAGCATTACAACTCCTAACCTCAACCCCAGTTTCCACACAAAGACTGAGTTCCAACAGACAAGTACCCACACTGGTAACCAGAATGGTTTGCCAGCGGGCCACTGTGGCTTTCCATTAATGCACAAACTGTCCAGCACATCTGTTGCACCTGTGTCACAGAGCAAAGAGCAGGAACCCAAAGCAAGCAGCCATCCACCTACGCAGGGTGACTCTGACCGCACCAACAGCCAGCACAAGAAGAAGAAATCTAAAAAGCACAAAGACAAGGAGAGGGAGAGGTTAAAGGACAACAAGGGCAGTGAGTGGATAGAGACAAGTCCTGATCTCAAGCAGAACCTGGACAAACTTGATAGTAAGAGCCTTTTTTTTTATGAATGATCTCCTTAAATCCTTTACTAACTTTAACTGCTTTCATAACATCAAATGTTACAGTGGAAGTGCTTCCCTTCTGGTGGTACTCATTGTGACGTTGCACCTGTCAGTTCCGTGAAATTATTTATGACTTCCCTGACTATTTTTTTGTTGAATTATATATATATCTACTGTTTGGCTTAACCTAATCTCCCAAAGCTCAACCACACACAGATAGACAGATTTGAAAACTATTGTAGGTGAGGTCCTACACCTGACAGGCTGCTGGTGTATTAATACAGCATTATCACATGAGCATGTCAGTGTTTGCTCCCTGAAGCTCCCTCTTGGGTACTCAGTGTGTTACATGGCTGATTGACTCAACAACAGCCCAAGAAGAGCTTTGGGTCTCTGAGCTGGCATGTCTCCTGATACCCACAAGCTCTTAACTCGTCTGCACAGAGACCGACTCACACTTACACACTCGCACTAAGTTTTGCAAAACAATAACACATTGCTTAAGACTCAGGCCATGACAAAGTGTTATGTTTGAACTTGCTCAGCTCCAGGTAATGTCATTTTCTTGATCAGGTGGTTTTATTTTGTTGCAGATCCTGAAATCACAAATGCTGTGGCATCCGAAGAGAAGCCTGATTATGTGATGTAAGTGTAAAACATGCGTTCATATCTTTTAGTGCTAATTGTTTAATGTGATATCTCATTGTAGAGTATATACCAACAAAATTAAGATAAGTTGGCTGTCAAAAAAGAGTTTTCAGAACAAACATTGAGCTTCAATTTGCACATTTAAACATTGCTACAACCACATTTTAATTGCCTGATTGAATTATTTAACCTTTTTCATTACTTGTATGTATGAAATATTTACATAACCAACTTTTTCTATTGAATTGTTCATAAAGGGGACTGTAGCTTAACATGAAGAGAGTTTGGCCTTATGCTGCCATCTTATGTCAGAAATAGGTATTGCACAAAAAGAAGGGGCATTTAAATGGGCTACTTTGGTGAACTAGCAGGAATGTAATTCTCCCTGTGTCCCCTCGTAGCACATATGGCACAATAATGAGTTTGGAGCAGCGTCAGAGGTACCAGGAGGATTTCTGTGCAGAGTACGGGGAATACAAAGACCTCCACTCACGCATCGCCACCATAACTCACATGTTTGTTCAGCTGGGATCCAAGATGAAAAGTTTGTCCCCGGGCACAAAAGAATATAAGGTACACAGTAAACATGTAAAAGTTGATCTGAACTGATACACAGCACACAATGCTGAATTGCTATATATGTTGAAGTGTTATTGTAGTATTGCACATATTTACAATGGAATGATTTGTGTTTTAGATAATGGAGGACCAAATATTGGAAAAGTATAACAAGTATCGGAAGGTAAGTTAAACTTTAAAAATGATTAAGATGTACCTAGATTTAAAGAAAATCACTGGAATATTTTTATGCAGAAACTCCATCCGACATGTTTACAGACCTACATTTAATTAAGCAGAAACCTAGGCTGATGCTTCCCTAATAATATTTTTATATTGAACAAGCTAATGACGTATAATTAAGGCTGTGTCCAAAGTCATTCACTACTCCCTACGTCCTACCCAGGAAGTTCTCTGTTGACGACTAAAATGTGAGCACAAAATACTCTGTCAGATATTCTTTGCTGTCTTGTTTGAGGCTGATAATGAAGTCATTGCTGTTATGCTTGTCGCCTTCCTCCGTCTAGAATTTTCCTTTGGATCGCAATGCAATATGGTATATATTTGTTTGTTAGGACCATGGGTTGTACACTTCTTTTCACAATGCATTGTGGGATACAATGAGCCCACTGTATAGAGTATGATAATTCTCCCTCATAACTCATACATCACTAAAAATGGCAAATTGACTATATAGCTAAATATATTGTGAACTGTTGGAGATTTCAGTCACACTCTTACAGTTTTAAGGAATATATTTTTGACCCATAGGAATGTATTTCTACAAATAAGAGTTCAAAGTTCATAACTGGCTTTGAATCTGTTACCTTTATGAGCTGAATAACTGCTGTTGATGATTTTACTGAATGATTTATACAAATATTTTAAACAGAAAACACGTCCCATTATCAATGTTTGTATAGATGATTACTAGAATTCACATCAATGATGAAATATGTTTGACAGGAAGTCACTTTAATGAAGTCCCCCCATAATGGGCAAGTCAAAGCAGTACTTCTGAGAGTAGTGGAAAGCAGTCATGTTTACAGTGAGAGGTTTAATCAAACAAGTTACCTTCGAAGGCATAAGTGTAATGATTATTGTACTTAAAAAAATGAGTTTTGTTTGATCATTTTAAGGTGATGATTTGGAGATATCTACATAAAAGTCAGCAGTGAACTTATACAGGAAGATGTAAATTGGGATTTACTCACATTGATTTCACCTTTGTATCATTAGTTCAGATATTCTTCACCCTCAAGAGTTTTCTAGCACTCAAGCAGTTTCTTTGATTTAGAAATAAAGAAATAGACTTTTGTAAATAAATTGAAAACTTTTTTTACTTACAGTTTTATTTTTTTCTCTCTCAATAGAAGTTTCCGGGCTACCGGGAAGAGAAGAAACGCTGTGAATATCTACATGAGAAGCTGTCCTACATCAAACAGCTCATCGTAGACTATGATGTTTCCCAGGCTTCTTCATAGCGCCGGATCTCCTCTTTATCAGATTTTTTTTTTTTTTTTTAAATATGGAGCCACCTTCTTTGCATACACATCATGGGAATCAAATAACGTGAGGGATATAGACTAAGGACTTCAATACTGCTTGGACCACATATGTTTCGGAGGTACTATTAACATGAATCAGTAGCAGATGTTCCTGTGTTATTTATAAGTCTGATTGTTGTAATGAATCTTTTCTGAAGAGATGTCTTGATGTGAATACTCCCAACGGAGAGACCAAAAACATTAGATCATGGACAGCATCTGTGCTCATCAGTTTGCCATAAAAGTGTCAGTGTAAGCCATTTTTTGGAAACATGTAAAAATGTAGCAAATCTGATTTTGACCTTTGTTCACTTGGGTTGAACTTTGCTACAGGCAATTTCCCCCTTGTCATTCTTTTTTTTCTTTTTTTAAATAAATGTATAAACTTTATAAAGAAGCAGCTGAAAAAGAGTGTCCCTTTCAAACCCTATCAAAGATATCTCAATACTGATATGTGATTGAAAAAACCCTCTGCAAAAATAATTCTGAGGTTGGAAGTTGTTTTATCATATTCAGCCTTCACATCATGTGATGTAAATTAGGATAAGGATTGAGTCACTTGTTCATGGTGCACTTCCCTTTGACATTTCATGCATTTATCTTGAAACAAGACTACCTTACAGCAGTCGCTGAATCATCATCAAGATATTAAAACTTGATTTTAATAAAATCTCAAATAACAATGGTTTACTGGAAGTAAGTGAAACAGTGTGGGCAAAAAAAGATAATGGTCTGAACAGTGAAAAAAAATTGATATGGTTTTTTAAGCATCCTAATTTGAACAAATAAAAACTGGTTGGACTTGTCAAGAGCTGCAGTTTCATGCTGTCTCTCAAATGCACTTGTGTTGACAGTATTTGTTCAGAACACCCACTTTACTTTAAATTTCCAGTAAAGGGACCAATATGACAGGAAGGATAATATTCCTCCCCAAAGCCATTACTGTCATTTTAATCAGGCGCAAAGTCTAATTCAAAGTATTCAAAGCCACTGGAAAGGTGTGTCTGTCTCTTTTTGGGTTTCCTCATAACTACTGATGTATTTATTGAAAGCCACCCGCCTCTGTGTTGTGCTAATGGTCTGCTCACTTTGAAGGGTCAGGTCTTGTAAGGTCAAAGATTTTTTTTCTAAAAGCAGCTGGGGAAGTGGGTGCTGCTATGATAGGATCAAAGGTTATTTGTTGTTTGTGGAGAGTTCATGTGTCAAAGCTGCTCCTAAGTCCTTTAAATATTTATGCTGACATTGCAACAAAAAGGGACAGTCGCCTCTTCAACACTGAATCAGAGTCTGAAATGTTCCCTGTTGTGAAAGAAAACACTCGATCGTGGTGGTACATTGTTGCGAAGAAGTAAACCCTAGTTTGGGGAATATGCATCGATATTGCTTTAAAACATTACATTGGCAACCTTATAGACAGCTGTGGTACAGACTGTAGCCTGGAGGGTTTATATGCTCTTCAGTTCCCAGTTAATAATCAGTGCGCGGCCCATATTTTTTGTGCTAATGCCAGTCTGAAAAAAGAGTCCTACAGCTAGTTATATCTCCACTCAGACTGTAATCGTCTATTTTGATTACAGTTTTTGTATTGAATGATATCACACAGTCAGTGATTTAAAGCCTTAAGATGACACTTTGAGAGGTCAAAAACTCATACTACCAGTATCAACAGTCTCTTTATACACACACACCTGATTTCTGCCTTACATTATAACAGTTAGCTGTTCCATTTGAATCTGTCTTAGCCATTTCACTGTTCAAATGAATGCCAACGGTGGCTTTTGTTTGCATTTTTAATCCATATGGTACTTTTAGTAATCACTACCGGGATTTATGGTCTTTGATACTGAGCAGTTTGGTTGGTAGACTGTCTTTAATGTTTTTTGGGTTTTTTTTTACATTACAAGCTTAAAAAAAATACATTGTTAAAATAATAATCCCTTTCAGGTAGTGGAGGGAAGTAAGGATTCTGGATTAAATGACATAATTATCCACTAACAATGAAAAAATCACCTGTGCTGAAGACAGAAATTTCCATAACCTCGGAAATAAACAGACGAATTGTATTTATCAGTGCAAGATTTAAATAAACACTACATTAATAAATTGGGACTGGTGGTGGATATTTAAAATGTACTGCACAGTAGATTACAGTTTATATTTATAATATATGTGCTGAAGGGATAGCAAGCCACAAAGGAGGCAGTGAAGAGAGGATGCTTTATGAACTGCATTTTAAATCTGTACATTCTCTTCCCTGTTGTTCAAGGATTTAAAAAAATAAAACATGAAAGTGTTGGTTGCTTTGGCGTGTTCTTGTTTTATAATTTTGCTCACTTTTCTATGCAGGTGTGTCTTGTTGCACAATGGTTCTACTTTGTCAATATCTTTTATATTGGAAAGTGTAGGCCTATCACCACTGCTAGAGATAGCTGTAGGACTAATAAACTAGCCTATAAAAACATCTTGTCGTTGCGGGTAGCCTAAAAAATCATCTTGCTGATGTTTCCATCTTAAAAGTTATTTTAGGTTTTCAATCATTAGAAAAACAATAGGCCAAAGGGTGAGAAGAAATGCTTTTACTGAACCGGGAAAAAATATGTTTTATTAGCAGTGGAGCCATTAATCACAGCTCACTGAATCCTTCAAGGCTATTCTACTTCAACCACAGTGACCTCGCTTTTCCTTTCACTTTGTTAGAGAATCCCCTAACATTTAAAAACCTTACAGAGCCTTTCCTTACCACAACAGTGAGTTTATGTGCGTTTAAAAAAATAAAAGAGTTATAGTTGAGGCTATATCTCCGAAGTGATTGCACTTGCAAGAGACCCCTAAGCATAATCCCAAACAGAAAAAATAGAGTACAGCTCCAAAAAGATTTATAATTCAAATGACAAATAGGCTTAGTTGTGACTGACGAGCCTGCTACCCTCAGGTGAGCAACATGTTGTCATGGCGACGGTGTGACGCTTTGGTTAGCAGTGTTTGAGGAAGCTGGCGTGACATTTATCAACTTATAGAACATTTAAGGTCAGACTGCGTCCAATTGTGTGAACTTAAAATATACTTGAAGTTGTTTTTTGTTCTTTAAATGGTATTTAGTTAAATCTCACTGCGCTTCCAGCTTTTCCTGTCTGCTTGTTAACGTTGATGTTGCTGCTAGCGTTAGCAAGCCGAGCTATGTTGGTTGTCTATCTATCTATCTTTAACTTTTATTTGTGCTACTTTAGTCTTTTACAAGCCGTGAAGTGATGTAGGCCTATTATTTACTCTTTGAATTAATTAAAAGGGACTTTCGCAAAAAAAATATCAAACTTTACAAAACATTGTATGATCATTGAAATGCCATTCTTTGTTTAGATCAAACTAGACATACTCGTTTCTGTATAGACAGACAGGTAGATGTTATTTATTATTTCCAAACTGGGGAATTGTGGTTTACAGCAGCAGGTTGTCAGAGCTTCTCTTGAGTTTCTCTCAAATACATTTTGATGATCATAGTTACATCTGTCAAATGATCTCAGTGCTTCTTCCACCAATCTGTTCCTAAGGATCTCCATGTGTAGCACAAATCATTACCCCAGCCCTGACTCAGAAATGGTCGGAGCTGGCAAAACAGAAACAACAAGAAAGCAAACACCCACGTTGGAACTGTCCAGTGCAGCACAGGTACAGATTGAGAGTCATTGATTAATTATTGACCTTTTAATGACAGATATTTGAAAAATAATGTTTTTAATACGAGTCCAAAAGGCTGATGTAACCTTTTCTTCTCCATCTGACAGCTCCCTGAGAGTTCAAATTGCCTGTCATGCTCCGAAGACGGCAGGTACCTCAGTATGGGTCACTCTCGGGGCTTGTCTGTGTGGTGTGCGACCTCTTTTGTCTGTGTGGCAGAGTGGCTGCAGGACAGCCTGGAAATCATGTGTATTCAAATAATCAGAATGGCTGAAACAGTCTATCTGCTCGGCACAGTTGATGATATGGGTGAGTATAAGGCCAGTGATTAAACAATATCAGGGTGATATTGTTTTATTTGTACAACCCTGCTTAGTCAGGAACTATTTCTGTCCTGACCTGAGATAGTAACACCTATGAATTAGTGGGAATAGAGGTTAAAAGAGGAACCCACAGGAGGTTCTCGGAAAGTGGTGAAAGATGGAGAAATATATCTTCATCATACCTAAACTGCGATCATCTCACACTGCAGGTGTGGCCAGAATTTTTGAATTTCATTCTGAAGCTGTTCACCTTCTCACTGTTGTTAACCACATGGTGAGTATATTTAGTGTCATTTATTGAGAAATAACTCTTGTTATAACTTGTATTTGTCCAACAAGATCTTGAATGTGTAACAAAAAATGCAAACAGAAATCTTAACACTACTTCCAACACATGTGTAGAATTTGCAGAATTAAAAATGATGTGTTTATTGATTGGATTGTATTTTCATTTAATATAATTTACGTTATTTATTCAACAAATTAAAAATAGATAACTTAATATAAATAACCGATTCACAAACTCTTTCTCGTCAGGAAAATGTGAACAAAAGGAGGATTTGCTTGGCACTTGAACTGTCTGAAGGAGGAGATTATGGAGCTGCAGCAATGAGCTGTAAATAAGAACGATTACTCTCTGTTTTGTCCATTTTCATTATATCGTTTAAAATACGGATTATCAATTTAAATGTAGAATGATGTGAATTGTTTACTTCCTATCAGGCAAGGGTGATGTTTGGCTGGAGGTTTATCATCTCCCCCTAGAAGCATGGCTGAAGGAGTTAAAGAGGACACAATCACAGGTATTGTACTAACTTAAACTTCTGGACGAGCTGCTCACAGCTAGGTTGTTTTTCACCTTGAAATGATGTGAACACAAGGTTAGGAGTAAGGAACAAGAGTCATAATGGCACAAATAACACACAGGCTTGAACTTAATGGTGACCTGATGAAGAGTACTTTACTTGAATCATGTTGCGATCCTGTTGTCGGTCTTTTTGTTTTCTTCAGGCCTTTAAGTGTGCTCATCTAGACTAACCACTTTTTCATTTTCTCTTCTTGCTCGAGATTGCTCGGAAAGATATGGGTTAGGGGAATCAGAGTTTTGGTTAGAATATTTGCAGTTTTACCTACAGCCAGATAATACTATATACTGTACATCATTAGATTTTAAATGCAATCAATGTATTTAGTTGGAAACTTTAAGGCAATTGTTGTTTTTCAATCCTCAGGACCCGTCTGAACATGTGGATGCTGAATGGTCTCACTTTTCAGTGGTGCTCAAAATCAGACCAGCAGGTATAGTTTATCAAGGCAAAAATGTATCCCAACAACAGGAATCCATATTTTGTGTTTGAACCTGAAAATACTGGTTTATGAGCAGTGTGTGTGTGTGTGTGTGTGTGTGTGTGTGTGTGTGTGTGTGTGTGTGTGTGTGTGTGTGTGTGTGTGTGTGTGTGTGTGTGTGTGTGTGTGTGTGTGTGTGTGTGTGTGTGTGTGTGTGTCCTGTATTAACAGTAATTCAGTGTGTTAATACATTCTTTATCCTCTAGTTTAATTGCTTACCTGTCCTGAAAGTTTATACAGTTTTTGCTGTTGCAGGGGCAAGATATAAGCATATTTGTGTTGTTCACAGGGACAACATTGCATGAACCACTTAAGGATATGAAGACGACAGATTTCTTCACACACTGTTGTTCTCTAGACGTAGAATCCAGCAGCAGTTGTCAAAGGTAAGATGAGGTTTTTTGTCAAAAGTACAAAAGTATTCTATGGCTTAGCTGCTTTTACATACAGTACAATAGTTTGAGTATGTATTTTGATTTATTTGTATCTTTGTCTTAATGCATCTTCATTTTGAAATCAAAGTATGTTCTTGGTAATATTGCCTATTTATTCTGTAGATCATGAAACATAAATGCAGGTGTTTAGCTCTCTTCTTGTCTCATTTTAGACTTATACATCTTTTTCAGGCTTTGCACCCACCACTTCCTTCTGCCTTGTGGTCAGCTTCCTGGTGACAGTAAAAAAAAGTTTCAGCCAGGTATGTGATGGAGGAGAAACACGTTTTTTGTGTTTTATGATAACATTGGGCGAAATTGTAGGGCGCAGAATTTAGCTGATAATATATGGCTTTGTTATCCCAGTATTTATTCAGTCCCTTATTAGGGCATTTTGAAGTACTCCTACTACTGCTATATAAATGTCACCTTTAATCTCTGACCCTACAGCAGGATTGCCTGTTGCTGTCTGTGTGTGGTGGAGTGGTAGCCATAATCTACTTCAGTATTCACTGCACAAAGTTCCAAAGAACAAACCAGGTACTTAATGTCTTTGTTCAAACATGGATCTGATGCATTTTCACATTCACACCTTTGAAAAGAGGTTGCTTGTTCTTAGAGGGAACCTATTTTGTATTTTTAGGGTTTAGAGGTTAGAGTTAAAAAGTTACAAAACATTAGGCAAACATGTACAAAACTAAACCCTTTAGTCATGAAGTTCAGTGATACACCTATCCACCTGCCCAGTCTGTAAAGGAAGTGTTTCCACTACTCTGATCAAAGTGATTCAAGCTTCAGACAGTGTTCATGGATATTACAAGTGCTGCTGAAGTATCGGCATGTATGTTTTCTGATACAGGCTGATGAGGAAAAAAGCAGTTATTCAGTATTTGAAGTAGAAATGGTGGCTTCTTAACGTATAGCATGCAAAGCGCTCTGCAACTTCATCGGTTGCAATACTCAGCACCATCCGCAGCAAATAAAGGGTCATTACAGTTATTTATTTCATTACAGTTCGAAAAGTCACTCTATCGGCTGCAATTAAAGTTATATCCTAAAAACAAGCTAATTCTCTTTGGCAAGCTCTCAGAAAGCTCCCAGGAATTTAAGTGAGAGAAGCCTTCAAGTAAATTTAGAGGAACTAGAGTCATTCAGAGTCTGAACTGAAGGTCTGTACAGGAAGGCAGTATACGAAAATATGGATGATTATATGGAAAATATAAAGCTGGAAGTTATGTTCTTTGATAACATTTTTTTAACTGTTCCTTTGTAACACATTTTAAATGTGAACACCTTTCTTTTTGAAGCAGATGTGGAACCAATGCCAGATGTGATATTGCCAAATGCAAAGGAAATCCTCTGCTCTGCTGTTAGTAGATGCACCCAATACATAGTTGTTGGGCTTGAGGGTGCCATGGTGTATGTCTGGGACAGACAATCTGGTAAGGAAACCTGAAAGTGGGGTCTCCCTTTAAGTTTATGTCGTCTGAGTCCAAACTAGTTTAGTTACAGCAATGCAGCTTATTAGTTTTCTCTGAAGGTTATTAGTTTTCTCTGAAGGTTATTAGTTTTCTCTGAATTTAAAAGTCTTAAAGCTGTTATTAATGAATCTTACTGACATACCTTAACTTTGAGCAGTAGCTTTTGGTGGCAAATAGTCACATTCTCTGGAGTAAACCAAATCCAAAACCAAAACACAAGGCCATCATATGCATTTCGGAGTATATCTGCAGTTCAAAACAACGTAAACACAAACACAGTCGTGCATATTTCTTCAAAGGGGAGGTATTCCCTCTCATTGTGTGACTGAGAGAGTGACAAGCCAGCCTATCTTGTCGCTTGTTCGAGTTTTGAAAAACAAACAAGATTACTTCTCTGTCTGACATTTCCTTTTGTGTCCCTCAGGGTCGCCTTTATCTGTAGTCTTGGTATCAGCAGCAGACAGCGCATTCTTGAGAGTGCAATTAGTCGATTACTGGCCTGAGTCTGCTGATGATTTGCAGATGTTTACAGCAAAGGTTCAACTTTTGGTGCTGTGTAAAAGTGGAGTTATTTATAGCGTCACAACAGGGCGAGGAACACAATCTTGCACAATGCAGCTCACTGAAAGGTTACCTGGGTTTTATATGTCACCATATTTAATAGAGGCATGTTTTAATTTGATATAATCAAGTTTTACACCCACAACAACTCATTATTTCCTCTTTCTACACAGATCAAAGGACAGCAAGGACCTGCCAACTGTCATCACATCAGTGCCATTCCTGCACAGCTTGGTAGAAACAATCAAACTGAATTAACAACATTTTTACAGCACATGTATGAAACAATCACAGTTAGATCATTCTGAATTCTTCTGGTCCCACTGTCTTTTTTTCCTGTCCTAAACTAGTCGCTTATGGTGCAAAGAAATGGAAAAATGTTCCTCCAAGATGTCATCAACCAAACTACAGTGTGCTACCTGACTCCTCCTGCATCTCATCTGTTCACTACACCATGCAAGCCTGTTTATGCTCTGAGTGCCAAACAGAAAACTCTCCTCATACAAGGTGAACTCAAAGCACAATGTTACTTTTATCTAAAGTATGACCTTTAGTAAATTTAAACCCATATGGATATGAATGCAAACACATTGCATCCAGAGAGCTGTAGCTAAAGGCTTTCATCTCTTTTGCAGGAGACCAGGACCCCAACTGCAGTGGACTCTCTGAAGGGGGAAACCAGAGTCAGCTTTTCATCTTCCAATTTGGAGAGATTGACATCACAAAGAAGTATATTGTTCCTCTTCCAGACCCTCCACAACAACAAACAGTTTGCTGTGTCAACCTGGAGGAAAGCTGCAACCTCTACCTGGAGCAAAGGTAGCGATAAAGAAACTCTACTTCCTCTACAAAGTCATTGTGTTCTTTGAGTGACAGACATTACCAGTATATATCTGGAAACTCTGCGTATGTGAGGTCTAATTATTTTTTTGCAGCTTTACATTCTAGTTTGGTCAGACAATATTGGCTTGATGTCCCAAGCAGAACACAAACATATCCATATCATACCATACCATATCTACAGTATGTGTTTGCATGTGTTTCCATGTGTAGAGCACAGTCTGTGGATGAAAGAAACAAAGCTGTAACACAGACATGGACGCAGCTACAGGAAACTGCAGTCACCCTACAACAGCAAGACGGCAGCGCTACAGCCAGCTGAGGAACTGCAGCAGATGATTTTTTTTTTGCACAGAGGTAATATTGTATGTTGTATCTGTGTGCATGTTTAGTGTACTTTGCCATGGGAATCTTGTAATCCCCACCATTCTACTGCACCATTTCTCCTTCACATAGACAGAGGTGTCATTTTCATGTGTGAGAGAATATAAAGAGGTGCTTTACCTTATCTTCTTATTTTTTACTAAATTACAAATGAAGAGAAAACTATTAACCTGGAGTGTTTGCATTATCGGTAGAAATAAATAAACAAATGTCGTTTTGAAGTCAGATTTCAGCTTCTGAAATATTTCTGATAAATTCTATTTTCAGGTTTCCAATAAAACATGGATGATGTTCTTTTTAGCATAGCATTCTGTCCACTAAGTTATGGTAAGATAAGTGTGCTATCCTGTTCTTTTCTGTTACTGTCTGGCTTTGACAAGATGTCAAGTCAATCAATGCTGTCCATGTTCAAACAGTTCATTCAGCACTGTCCAATACTAACATATATCATCAAATATACATTCATATACATTAACCATTGATGTGGCAATATATGGCTATAAAAGTTTGATATTGCAAACAGTCTTTTTTATTATATTTTCTTAATGAGCACAGTACACAATGGGAGAATTCAGTCAAATGTATGAAATCATTTCTTAATTTAAGTTCTTACTATGATATTTAGAATAAGCAGTAAATGCCAGTGTAACTGGATTAATAAAGGTTGCAAAACGATATCCAGTTTTGCAAATTGAAAAGGAGAATTTATTTTTAATAGCTGCCAGTTTATTCTCATTTCATATCTCACACAGTTTTATGTGACGTTACACCACAAAGAAGATTTTATGTCCAAACTGAATTTGCTTTTGAGATTAAATCTCACTGATTGGTTCTGCGATGCTGGTTGAATAGTCAGAACATTTTTTACTCGTGTTGAATTACAGATGAATATTTTTGAATATCTGGTGCTGCTGGGCAATCTCTGATATGTATTTTTCAAGATGAGTATATTCAGTCTGTCTGTGACTGGGCTGTTTTTAGTCATGGCACATTAGCTTTTGGTTGCCTTTGGGGTCCTTTAATATTTCATATGTCATGTTTGTGATATCAGAAGATAAAAAAAATCTAGGACAGGGTGTCCTTAGAGTGCTTTTTAAAAGCATCCTTAATGAAAAATTTAAGCATTCATAGAAAAAACATATTTTGAGCTTTCACTGGTAAATTGAAGGTTAAACCAGTCTCAGGTCAATGATACAGTTCAATGGTGATTGTTTAAATTATACACGTATGTAATATCTATTTACAGATTCTACTTAGAAATGTAGGATTCGTACACAGGGGTCGTGATTTTCAGCATGTGAGGTATTCAGGTTTGCGTTTGTGGTACACTTTTAGTCCGAGATGTATTGACCAATAACGTATCAGCAGGCTTTAGTGTGTACAGGTTAAGCGGTCCATGTGGACAACAATAAACAGGTGGAATGGTTTCTGTGCTGATGACAAACTAGTTCCAATGAACAGTATTTTTACAATTATTTATTTGTCTCTGCAAAAGAATACTGGCCTAAAAGTGTAGGTAACAATGAAAAGAAGACAAATTTAAACTTGAGCCACAAATCCGCTTGATGCTGTGTTTTTAAAGCCAATCAGCGTTTAGATTCCCTGACTACCTGAAACGCATCAGAAATGATCCCACATTTTAAAAATGTTTTTCTTCTCCTGAAGACAAGCCTGACAAAGCCCAACTTTTTACCTTTATGTCTACACTTAAACCATAATATGGCTGGTTTATGATGAATGCACGATGTGAAGGCATTTTCATAAACATCAAGGATGGCTGCTACTTACTTGACGAATGTTCTAAAGGAGCTAATGTGTCATTGATTAACAAAGTGGACATCAGTTCACCCCTGCAGACGCAGGTTTTCGGGACCCTAAGTGTGTCTTAGTGACCGCCAATCAAGACCACATCTGGGCAGCATTATTTTCTATATTTCTGCTAAATGAATGATGTCCACCCCGATGGACTGATGGAGTCTGCAGATCTATATCTAACAGAGAGCAAACCAATCAGAAATGTACAGCTGTTTGGATCATTTGGCATCCCCACAATGCTCACCACAGACAAATGTATTTGTTGTGTTGCATCATTTGTATCCTGTCTGCACAATCTTTTTTTCTATTTCTATCAAATGAAAATGATACTGATAGAGATTTTAATAAGAGAGTGAAAGCCTCATTAGAATCTCTATAAAGCTTCTCTGAGAACAAATGCCAAGAGGCAACAAGTCATCAAGATGAAAGCCCAGCTGCTCTATTCAAAGATTTTGGCATGTGTTCCTGTCAATATCAGATGAGTGGTTCAGAGAAAATCGAGTCATTGAAAACAATCCAGCAACAGTTTGTTTAATTAAACAGAGCACTTTTCATGAAGAGGACCCTTCACTGTTCATACTGATGATGGCTTTGCAGGGTTACATGCTAAACTCACTCAACATTTCATTTCACTGTCACATGTTTATGTGCTTTAGGAAGTTGCTTCTGAAAAAAATCACTGGGGGAAAAACTTTACCATCACATGTAAAAAAAAACATTGATCTCAACTTTAAAGCCACTTTTGGAGTATATTTTCCCCTTCCAGAGACATTTCACTCTTTTGATTTCTCACTGAATAAATCGACCCCGGATACAGGAAGTCCTCCTGAAGGAGATCAACCATGAAAGAGTGCTTTGTTCACTTGAATTGTAAGATATAAGAGTAGGCTATCCTGGCTGTTCCACTTTAACATGAATTCATTTATTATTACAAATATGTTCAGTCACTGTTTCAATACCGAATCAAAGAGAACTGACTGGAATTTGTATTTCTAATATTTTCTTGTATGCCCTAAACTGAGGAACTCTAAAGTGATCTCAATAAGACATTAACTCGTTTTCATTTTTGGAAATTGAGATGGCCTTTGGCATGTAGACCATGCAAGTAATAGATTGGTCCACATAACAGAAAAAAAGATGACAAAATAATGGATATAATGAGAATGTTTTTCCACAGTCATTGAAGTCAGGACCATTTGCCTGCTTAGTATCTATCGTGATATAACATTTAGGTAGAGTTAATGCTTGAAAAAAAAAAACATGAAGAAAAGGTTAATGAGGATTATTCTAGGGAATGGATTCGCTTTCTTATCTCTGTTTTAAATTATTATGACGTGTAACCATAGTGACCTAGGAAACCTTCCAGCTTCAAGAAGTCAAATAATTAAATACTTTATCCATCTAAAGTATTTATTTTGTTATGTGTTCTGCAAATCCTCCTCTTATTTGAGGCTAATCAGATGAGATGATAATACAGAACATGTATTACTTTTCTTACCCGTTCTTAGTTGTAAGCAAACAAAGAAAAATGTTTTTTAAGCTGGAGAATGATGAAAATAATGCCTTATATTAATTTGTCACAAGGGTATGAAAGGGCATTTCTATACAGGCTCTGAATCATCACGTATTAGAGGAAGCTCTCTCCTCAGGGATGGTCTGGTCACACGTCACTAAAGAAACAGCGTTACGTTAGCAGGAGAGATCGACACAAAAGCTGCGCAACTGAAAATTGCATACAAACCTACTAATGCACTCAAAATCCTGTGGGCGACATTTAATTTGACATTTATTACAGAAGCTTTTTATGTTGTAGTAGTGTCCTCTTTGTTATGTTTTTTTGACCCATCACCACCTTCAATGGAAAACTCATTTTAGTAATTTCCAACCTTTGGAACTGAATTCAAGCCTTTGTGTTTGATACAAAAACATTTTACAAATATTCAATGAGCCTTAATGAAAGACAATATTCTAGAAATACAATGACCAAACACATCACATAGTTCAACAGTAAATCAATCTGAATAAATAAAACAGCTTACAACAGTCATAAAGATAAATCAGAGAGTTCTTGTCTGTACTCTTCCTACATAATGCTCTCAAGGCTGGACTGGTTTGGATCTCTCTCTGCTTCATTATTTGCTGTTAAAAAGCTGCTTCTTGGTGATGAGGACTCTCTGTTGCTTTGGTTGTCACTGGACAACAAGAACCTCTCTTGACTGACAGTGCTCACCTCATTTTTCACTGGCAAAGAGTTGGCAACGCAGGAGAAAGATTCAGTTACAACCGTGTTATTATCCTGCTCTGTCGCTGTGGTGGCGTTGCAGAAATACCTCCGGAACCCATTTTTGAAGTGAATGGTGAAAAGGCCATAGATGATGGGGTCTAGGCAGGCGTTGACAAGCCCAAATATAAACAGGATGTGTGTGAGTGAGTGGGAAACCTTCCCCTCCAGGTCGTCTGGAAAGAACCAGTACCACAGGCCCAGCAGGTAGTACGGAGTCCAGCAGATAATGAAGGACGAGACGATCACAATACTCATTTTGAGAGTTCTCATCCGTGCTCTAGGGATGTTATTCTTTGACCGCCGCAGATGAACTTCATTGGTGGGCACTGTGAGCAGAACACATGACAGAAATCAAATATTTTAAGCATATTAAAAGACTTGTGTGTATTTATTTTCTGTTTAGACAGATTTCCATCCGACCTGATTAATAGGTTGGTCTACACTTAAACCATAATATGGCTGGTTTAAAATGATGAATGCACGATGTGAAGGCATTTTCATAAACATCAAGGATGGCTGCTACTTACTTGGAATGTTCTAAAGGAGCTAATGTGTCATTGATTAACAAAGTGGACATCAGTTCATGTTCCATATAAATTAAAAGTTATTATAATTATGTTGTGCAAATAGTCTGTAAAATGTTGAAATAAAAGTAATATGAAATGCATGTTTGTGGAGTTAGCTAGCCTAGCAGCCTAATGCTATGTCACACTTTTCTTTACTCTCAGTAGCAGTATAGTTTTCAAAAGTGTTTTGGTCTGAAGTCATGACAACCCCCATGGAAATCAAAAACAAATTTATGATGACCGACTTCCCTGACAAATTTCTACCAAATGAAACTAACATACATACAGTTGTCCTTTCTCAGTCGTTTGGAGATCTCAAAGAAGATCCTGGTGTAACAGGTGATCATGATGACCAATGGGAGCAAGAACAGGCAGGAAAAAGTGAACATGTTGTAGGCTGTTTCATGCCAGTGAGTGACAAAACTTCCTTGTGTGGTGCATTGAGTGAAGTCTTCGGGATGGATGATGGTCACATTGTGAAACAGGAATATCTGAGCAGGAAAAGGAAGAATAATTAGACATGGTCATCAAAAGTGTTTGTGATAATATCTAATATCTAGTTGATAATAAAAAAAATGTGTGTAGTACACATGTTACTTTTTTTGGCTTCTCACTATCCAATCAAAGATAACCCCTCTATGGTTTAGTTTCTGTGGACACATTACTAGTTTCTTTGTTTGTCCAGGTTCATGCTTTTTTATTGACTGCTTCAAACTAAATATGAACAAAATTATGTCAACAGATATTTTGAAAGAAATAAACTACTGACTATGATCTATGTAATGACAACAAAAGGTACATATTGGCAAAACACTTCAATAGCTTATGTTCGTTAATTTCAGAGTGATGATGTGAGGAAAACTGGCAGTCTGACATTTTGTCAAAGGCTTTTTGAATTCATCATGAGACAGTTTAGAAAGTGGGCATGATCCCTGTGCATGGGACAACGACCATATTTTGAACAGCCTTTCATAAAATCACGTTTCTTCTTTTGTCAAATGTAAATCAGTGCTGACCTCTGCTGGTCTGTGTCTTGAGCTGTGACATCTGACCTCACCTGAGGGACTGACAGCAGAACACTCATGCCCCACGCCACAGTCAGCATAACTCTGTTCCTGGTTTTCGCCTTGTTGATAGCCAGAGGGTCAAGGATGGCTGACTGCCTATCCAGACTGATCACCACAGTGACAAAGGCGCAGGAGTACATCGCCTGCAGCTTCAGAAACATCAGCAGCCTGCAGGCAAAGTCCCCTGCCAGCCACTGGACTGTGATGTTCCACACGGCATCCACAGGCATGACGATGAAGGTCACCAGCAGGTCAGCCATTGTCAGGTTCATAATCAGCACCCTGACGTGAGATTTTCTCTTCCCATCGCTGTGAGCTGCCCACAGAACAGCCAAGTTACAAAAGGCTGAAATACCACAGAGCATGCATGTGATGATGACCCTGACCTTGGCTGCTGTGGTGAAAGTGGGCAGCTGCAGGGCGCCGCCCCCAGCTGTCCAGTTGGACGGAGGTGTGGAGAAGTTGCAGCTGGCATTCGGCTGGTGGTCTGTGGTCAGATGATACATGGTGGCTACAGAGTCACACAGAGAGGTGTTCATCTTCTAAGGCATTTTGCTCATCCAGCATGAAGATCAGCACTAAAAGGAGAAAGAAGAGGGACACACGAGACAGGGATGAGTCAGAGGGCGTGAAGTGGGAGGAAATTACAAAAACACATTTCTGAGAGAAATGCAAACACTGAAGGAATGGACAATGTAGGAGCGTATCAAGAGGAAGTAATAAGGATGAAGGATGCAAAGTAAATGGAGTTTTCTTTCTTATTTGTTACGAGCTAAAATAAATTAAGATGATAACAAAATTGTATTAATCAACAACATTTTATCTATCTAATTATCCCAGATGTATGTGGCTTTGGACATAAGCATCTGCTCAATGGAAATGTTACATTGTCACATCTCTTTATTTGTTGTGGGAGATGAAGCCAAAACTTTGAACAATGAAAGAGAGCACTGAACAAGAAAATGTTGTTTGTACTTAATGAATCTGTTTCATTAAATGACGGTCGGCAGCTTCTGTCATATCAGGTTGTAATGAAGTGTGTCTGCACCTGCACAGCTGACTGTCACTGACATTACAGCAGCTGGTTCAAGTGCAGTGCATGAGATTGATTTATATTCAGGCTTTTTGATCATAAAGGTGAAAAACAAATCAGAATCATTGATGTTAGTCCTGTTTCATTTATTACTGTGTATTTAATTGTTGTGTTTATTATAGTAATGATACGTTTGACAGGACTTAACTTTGTTATTAATATTATCGTTTAATCAATTGAGCTAGATAAGGTTGGATGTTTACTTTTTTCTTCCACTGCTAGTATCCCAGACAATATGGACCTGTTGATACCTAAGATAACTTGTTTGACAGATAAAATATGATAAAAACATTTTCTTGCTATGCAGCAGGATAACATAGATGAACAATCTAAACCAGTTCACGTGCTCAGCAGACCACATTTTATAACATGTGCACATTTCAAATATATCAGATTCACACAAATTCACATCTACCCCCAATGAGATGAATGGAATAGTTTGATATTCACATCTGCAAAATAATACAATAAAAAAAGCTTAATTGAGGTGTGTTTTTGAGCGACGTTTTAATCCCCCCTTTTGACACAACTTTAAACCAAATTAAAACGCCACGTTCATGTTTCCCTTTGTGTTAACTCTGAATTCTGAGATCGTCTCGTGAGGAAACAAAGCAAACTTACCTCCAAGTGCAAAAGAGAGAGCTGTGCGTTTAGCCTTTTACGCACGTGCTGGAATCCAAACATTTAAAATTCTAGTAGGAAGGAAACTTGGCCGCTGATAGTGTCCGCTTGTATTCAACAAATAGACTGCTGTTTGGATCTGCAGGGCAGCAGGTTACAGCTGTCCGGCTCCTCTGCCATCCAGCGCGTCCAGTGCGTCTCAGCCGCTCCACCGTCATCCATATAGCAATCACTGCCGCGTAACATACACCCTGGGGTGTGGTCTGATCTCATGTTCACTTACGTCAGTGACTCCAAGGCTAAATAAAAAAGATTTGGCATGCAGAGGACTTCCAGGTAAAGGCTAATAATGAATCGTCACCAGAAGTCTCAACTACCAAAATAAAAACAACGAAATATTAAAAAGTCATATCTCACCCTGGCTTCACCTGTACAACAGTGGGTAGTGAAGAGAGACACACTCTCACTGTGAGAGAGGTTTTTCTGCAGTTGTCTCAATCAACTCAAAATATGGGTCACATATTGACAATGAAAATGAACTAATTAGTGGCAGTTTCACAGATGTACCCCAGATCTGGTGTATGAACCAATCCACACTAGTTCTTGAAATGATTGCAGGACTGGAAATGTCAGAAGAAGAATTTTTTTTATTATTTGAAGGGAGTTGCTAGAGACTTCAGGTTAAAAATAAATCTTAAAGCAAAGACTGTTACCATACATCTTGAAAAACGTTTCACATGCAGTATCACTTTTAATTGCTTCCTCTGTAAAAGCTGCTTTTTAGTTTTTTAAGTTTGTTGTCACACACTGAATTTTTTTTCTGTACTTTTTGCAGACAGTGTTAGAGATAAATGAAAAAAATATAGGAAATTGATAGCAAAGGGTGCACTGACAGTGGAATTAGTGTATATCAAGGTCATGGTCAAGGTTTCCGTATTCGTCTCCCTCGGGTGAAATTTGTCTCGGATAATGGGAAATTGCTGATATATGTTTCATGTTGATGTGTACAGTGAGGGGAGGGGGGCTTGAAGAAGAAGAAGATATGCCTGAAACACTTAACTCAAATGCCACAACAAGTTTTAATTCATCAAAATCACAACATTTCGACCAGAGGTCTTTTTCAGGTGATAATTTTGGACCTCTGGTCAAAACGTTGTGATTTTGATGAAGTTTTTTGTGGCATTCAAGCAAGTGATGTGCGTATTACTACCCCCTTTCTCGATCACTTAAGTCATAATTAATCATGATTAATGAGATGAGACCCAGGCAGCTGAGACTCAGAGCTGCTTGGAAAACGAAAGAAAATCCCCTATGACTCCTTCAAGCAGCAGTAAGAGCCAGATGACCAAACTGATTCTGAAGATTATTCAGAAAACTTTGAGGTGCAGGGCAGCAGGCCTATAGATAAACTTGTCACTATCGGTGCTCATCTGAGGGACATTCTGGATTTATTCAGAGAAATGAGACAACATTAAGGAAATATATTCATCCGTTTTTTAGAAGATCAATGTCAGTGCAAATGGTAATTTTTCATGAAACATATCAGGTTCTGGCTCGTTTTTCACAGTTAGGTTTCTCTGGCTGTGGTTAGCCCCTTGACGTTGATCATGTTTTTTTCCCCTATTTTTTCTAATTAATTGGTGGACAGATTTAATCAATTTTATATGTTTACCTGGACTATGTTTCCATGGCGATGACTCCCTGAAAGTCGAACACACGTAGGTCATGGCAGTGAGGGGAGGTGACGAGGGAAATCAAAGCAGTCCCCGAACATCTCACGTCACATTTCTGCTACTTATCCATTTTAATTAAATGAAATTACTGCAAAAGGGGAACGAGTGAGTGCAGGCAGGATACAATTAAATGATCCAAAACCCCTCAGGATTCATTGTAGCTCTATGAAAGGGAACCTAAGTGAGGGAACATTAACGGTTGAGGGTGATGAATTCAATCTGTCGTCTTTTTCCGACATTAATGTCAGGATGAATTCTTGTTTCCTTCGAGCTGGAAAATGAACAAGAATTCAGATGCAAAGGAAATCAAACATGTAAGAAAATACTAAAAAACAGTGTTCAGTGTTTGCAGAAGTCACACATTAGTTTGTCAGCTCATGATGATTAAGCCAATGGATCTCATGTTGATTCAAACGTTATCTGTACTGAGGCTGTAAGGCTAAGTGTGTGGGTCTGCTTTCAGCAAATTCCTCCTCATTACTTTGTCTGAGGGTAATAAAGTTAAAGAATAAGTAAAAAAAAAAAAATGTTATGTTGCCAAGGTGCACAACAATATGGTGTGTGATTATACAATTACAAAAATTAATGCTGGACATGGGGGTCACAACCGAGTGTGACACGATTAAATAATCAGTGCTTGCTGTCAGGGGCCTCATTGAGAGTAAACTCCTTCAGCTCAGTGAGCTAATGAAGAACACACCATGAGCCAAGTTGAGTAAGCAAGACCGGTGTTCTTAACTCTACTCTTGTGTTGTTTCATTCTGATTTCTAAAGACTCATGTAACACCACCTTTAAATAATGGTGATGAAAGTTATGGAGGAGAGTTTTGAGGCCTATTAAAAGTGACCATGTAATATTTGTTCAACCCAGACACTTTTTATATGTTGCCCCTGATTTCAGTGTTTGTCTTGAAGTTTTAAGGTTTTAAGTGAAAAAATGGAAACAAATCACTTCTGTTTTAATCAGGCTATAAGAGCGCCTCTATTGTAAAGATGATGAAGTTTAAGATTAAGATTAAGATTTACTTTATTGATCCCGCAAGGGGAAATCCTGTTTTTACACTGTGTAAGTCATGCAACACACACATAGGCTGAAATATACACACATGCACAAACAGGATCCTATGGACATACACTAATGGAGGGATGTCGGCGTGAGATGCAGGCGCTCCTGGTGGGTGGGGGGGGGGTTTGGTGCCTTGCTCAAGGGCACTTCGGCAGTGCTCAGGAAGCGATCTGGCACCTCTCCAGCTACCAGACCAACTTCCATATTTAGCCCGCACAGGGACTTGAGCCGGCGACCCTCCGGTCCCCAACCCAAGTCCCTACAGACTGAGCTACTGCCACCCCCAGTTAAACCTTTTAAAGCAACTACTTCACTATCTGTATGAATGTGGATTTGATCTTGTTTTTTTTTCAGCCTTTTAGTTCATGAATTTAGAAATTGTACTGTTTTCAAAAAGTGAAATGTTTTATGTACATAATGTTGATGAACAATATCCTCAAATGCAATGACTTTAACAATAATGAATTCAGTGTGCATCCTATGTGATGTCCTTGTATTTATGCTGAAAAACCAATTTCCTTGGTTCCAGTTTACAAAGGTAAATTGCGTGATGAATAACTTCCAGCCAGGAAGGAAGGGAACATGCTGACCTGAAACATGTTGTTGTTTGTCACCATAGTCCTCTGGATTTACTAATCCCAAGCCCTTGAAGGTAAGTCGTGTCACATTGCAATTCAATACTCCTAATTCACACTCGGTCATGTAAATTGGGAGTACTGAGTATAGCCTCATAAAAGAAAAGATACACACTGAACACTTTGGTTTTTCTTTTTAAGTGAAAGCATATATTTTTGTTCACATTAAGATGCTCATAGTCAATGACAATTATAACTGTAGTCATGTTGAAATATTTCAGGCTTATCTTTATTTGTATCTTCCATTTGCTCAATGAAAATGTAGTCTGCCCTTGAATCACCATTCATAACATTCTTCTATAAAATTCAGTTTCAAGTGGAAACACCTCTCATTTCGATTGCCCTGATGCAGGTTGATGAGTCATGTTATTTTCTTATTTCATGTCCACTGATACAAAGCTTGAATCTGTTTGAAAGTTTACTTTCTATGAGTCTTTTCCATTGTCTCTTTGCAGATAAATATGACAAAAAAACCCTATAATATAGATTTATATACATACCTGAAGCCATACACATGTAAGCCCATCAGTCATTTAGGTATCTCTTTCCAACAACATGCAGATGATATATGATGAAACATTTCAGCTAAGTCTTTTACAATAAAAAATAAATTCAACTGCACTGCCTCAGCTCCATCATTTGTGGGTTTGCAAATAATATTCTACAGCTCAGTTTTGACAAAACAGCATAACCTGGTTATAGCCCAAAGGGCAATAGGTTCTTTGATTCTTATTATTAACTATACCGTAGTCTAAGCTTTTCATAGGTCCATGAATCGTTCAGTTTACCTGTTTCTCGTCTAGAAAACGCCAGTGTGATTTGTGCAATTTTTAGAGTTCATCAGCTTAAGACTCTGTCTTTATGGAGGAAAGAGGAGGAGAAGAAGAGGAAAGAGGCTTGACCATCGTCATAAAATTGACTTTTATTCTATTTTCTCCACAGCAGAGAGTTGACATGAGCGAGGAAGCTTTGGCAGGCACTGATTCTTCGCCTGCACAGGGTTTCATGTTCCCTGTATGTGCTAATAAGAGGAAGGGGAGGTAATTGCTCAGCCGTCATTAGGTATACTAATTACACACACTGTCAGAGCCAAGAGGCACATTACAGTCTGACTGGTCATTATTACATGTTCATTTCCTCTGTTTTCCATCTGTGGCCATTCAACACAGAAGAAATCAATGACTAAATCACTATAGCCAGATGTTGTTTTTTTCATCAAACTTTCATAATTTGAACGTTTGTTTTCCCAAATGAAACATCAAATTGACTTGTCTGTGTTTTGCAGATTAACTGGGTTGAAGAGAAGGATGTTTTTCTAAATCTTTAAATAAAGTTTTGACTTCATATTGTACCAAACCATAAAAGAAAAAAAACAACTTTTCTTTTACTTTTCTACTAATCGTACATTTATAGCACCAACTTTTTAAAATAAAGTGTAAACAAGGTACTAGTTTGAACTTTAAACTGACTTTTGGGGAGCATTGATTTTGAAATGACTGTTTGAAATGGAAACTTAACCCAATGTGAGTATAATGCTGTTGAATTTATTTTATGGTACTGGTCCCTAAGATTGTTGGCTATCTGATGTTTAATGAATTCATGTGAAAAAGGATGTTTTATGGCTTTTTATGGCCAAGCCATCATACATTGACTAACTTTTAGAGTAACAATAAACAATTCAACTTTTAGAGGCCTGTAGAGCTGACAGAAAAACATGCTGATCTGATTGTATCTATGGG